TTTTTTAATGTACACGTTGGTAAAAATTTGCCATATGCAGCCTGATACTCGATTCTGAAAATAGCATGTGGATTTTGGAGCAATCTATAAGAACTTCCAAGAAGACAGATGTTAAGAATAAGACATTTTCTCAGATAGTCTAATGGAGTTTCTTTTGCTGTTCCTTGATTTTAACTTACTTCTGTCTTCGGTAAAATTACGACATTGCTAAAATATGCAAAGTTGAATTTTTGGTTAAAACCTTAAGTTTTGATGTGGATTTTTTTGTTTGTTTGTTTATGAACACCTTGTGATGTTTTCTATAGCAAAAAGCAAGTATTTAAAATCCATTTTCATTTTGTTTCAACTTTATGTTGATGGTGCTCTCCTTCTTGAAACATCCTTCAAATTGCTTTAGCCTAGAAAACCAGTTCTTTAAAATCCCTGCTACTATAGTGAATTCTTGGTTTAAGTGGATATTCAGGGATTACCATTGTTTCACATCTTGCACTGAAAAAGTAAAATAGTAGCATGATATTTCTGTAAGTATTTAGTGAATAGTCCTGAGTGAGACAAATTATGGAAGTATGTGAAATTCTGCAGTAATAGATTTCTTCAGAGACATTAAAATTGTGTATAGTTACCATACATTTGTGAGTACACAAAAAAAATTTAAAAAGAGCCTGTTAATTACATTTGAGTCTTTTCTCCATAATGTATGTTGGAATCCTTCATTGATTTACTTGCTGTCCAGAAAATCAATGTTGCCTATCACAGATCATCATAAGAGGAAAGCTTGAGAACCTCACAAGCTAGATATGAACAAGTAGGATCTTGTTCATGTCTACCTTGTGATCTAAACATGCCTGTGATTTTAACAACTAAGTAAAAGCACATGGTATCCACAACTTATGTACTCAGACTGTGTTTGTAGGCATGATGTTTTCACAGAAGCAGAAAAACATGATGAGTAGAATTTTATGCATTGTTTTAAGAAGAAATATGGAAAGTCGTGTTCTCATCAGTACAAGAGTAATGCAATAGGCGAATTGACTGAATGAATGTTTTTGGCTTCTTTTGCCATGAACTTATTTTTTCTTGCTTTTACAGCCTAAACTTAGCATGGCCAAATGCAGGAGAAATGTGGAAAACTTTCTGGATGCTTGTAGAAAACTGGGAATACCAGAGGTAATTTAAATCTGTCATTTCTAGATGATCAAAAATGCAAAACACATGAATTATTTTAAAGCTGAAGGATAACTTCATGAACTACAGTTTTTCAGCAATAAAGACATATAATTTAAAAAATTGATCTGAATAATTTGATTTAATCCCACTTTAGTGCATTTAAGTGGTTCATGTCGTAGTACTTAAAAATTGCAACTTTTTTCTTAAATTAGTAGTTTGGTGGTTTCCCCTCCTTATCTTTGCCATGGAAAAGGTAATTAATGAGGTAATATGTAATTAGGCAAAAGTTAACTGATTTTGTTTCTTATACAACATAACTGTGTTTTTAGCTGGTGCTTTTAGAATATGGGCTTCATTCTTTTAATTATTGACTTTCCTCTTTTACAATGGTAAGTATTCTATTGTATGCTTTGGAAAAGTGACTAATAACACACTTATTTCTTGTACTGAAGCTCTGCTCCAGTGATGTGAAGAAAACCATTCTCTGTGTGTTAAGTATGGAAAGCATATAGGAGTAAGATTCTATAATGTGGATATAAGTGTGTCAGAAGTTGGAAACAGGGGAACTGCAGTACTTGATGTTTTCTGCTTTTCATTTAAGAATGGCAGCATCATATAATTTATTCTCATATTAATAAGGAAAAATATAACTATTCAATTCTGGAGTTGCAGATGGTAAAACTGTTATACAATTCTTTTTAATTTGAATACATGGAAACTGCATGATGTATTTTCACTGTTGCCTACATATATCAGAATAATGAAGACTGAGTTGGTTTTAGTCTGTTTTCAAGAATGCTGCAACAAAAGGAGATCTTGTGTATATCTCCCCCACCACCCCCTTGGGAGCAGATGGTAATGCCAAGATTTCATGTTGGTAAAGAATTCCTGTTTGAGTTCTTTAAGTTAGATTTTAGCACTTGATTTGGAAGATGGCAGAAGTAACATCATTTTTGCTATTTGTAGGAATTTTGAGGGGGAGACTTTATCTTACAGCTCTGGTGAAGGGTTCTTCATAAATTTAATTTGGGAATTCAGTGTAATGGGCTAACTTCTAAGTTGTAATGGTTGATTTAGTCTTTGTAATTACGTAATTTATTATGTTAGAATGATTTCATGCTAAGGGGAAAATTTTACTTCAAAGATGATCAAAATCTCTGTGCTCTGGGCTTGTAGACATGGTGCGTTTGTTAAGCTGCCCCAAAATTCATTGTCTTCTGATACATCATGAATTATTCAGTGAATTATAATACAAGTTAGGCTTTTCTGGATATAGTCTATTGCGAAAGAAAAGGCCAAGAGCTGTTTTTGTTGTTGTCAAGAGATCTTTCAGAAATGGAAATAGAACAGAAATATTTACAGAGGTCTTTGCAGTGCTGTATTTAAGATGGGTAAGCTAAGCCTTCACTCCAAGTGTTTTTTATTTTTGATTCTACCAGTCAGCTTTCTGGAAAAATCCTTTTTTGTTCTGTGTGAATAGACATTTTTATATACTAGCCCTCATCTTTAACGCTTCCACTGAAATTAGTATGGATTTTTTTAGGATTTTATTTTATTTTTATTAAAATATACTTGTTGCCAAATTGCACAGAGCCTTAAGCACAAGGCCAGATCTGACTTATAAATTAATTACGCTTAGGAATCTAAATCAGCATTAACTTCTTCTGAGGGCAAAAATACATTCACTTAAGCATTAAATGAATGGCTTGTAAATTTATGATAGGTTTGAAGTACTCTGAGGATGTTCTTTTTGATTGGCTGTTGGTACTTTGCAAACGTGTATGTTTGCTATATATTGTGAAAATCCTTCATGTTGTGAACTAGCTGGTAGATGATAGAATTTTGGTGTGTGTTGGAGGGACGTGTATTAGGAATACAGAGTTGTATGATAGCAAGTTTGGCTGTAAATTGTCAAAGTTTTTAAAGAGCTACAGATGATGTGTTTAATGTTGCTTCGGATCGATGAGTTGTACATTGCCTAACTATCTCTGGACAAACCAGTAAAGGAACGCAGGGAATTATTCCCTAAGCGTCTTACGGGAAAGTGATAGGTTCTGCTTCTGGATCTCAATAGCAATAGATATTAGGCTTTTCAGTGATACTTATGTACATGCTTAGTTCCTGAGAATTAACATGAAATTCTGCTGCATGAGTTTGGTTGTTTTGGGTTTTCTTTAAGCATTTAAAATTTTCATAGTTCCTCTTGCTTTGGTTTCAGTTATTTATGGAATGGAATGGAGTACACGCTGTTTCCTGAGCTCCACAGGTTTAGAATGATATCCTGTCAAATCATGTAAAATGAAACCAAGAAAATAGCGAAGTAATTACTGTGATGTGCTGATGTGCATGGTCTCTTCTGTGGCTTTCAGCGTTCAATTCTAGGGTCAAAACTGCTTTCCCCAGGATGATCCTGGGGAACTTCTTCCAAGTGTTAAAGAAAAAAAATTTCAATTGGCATCTATATCCAAATGTGTCATAAGAAGTGTCAGGACTTGGTAAAGAATCACACATACAAAATTCAGGAATATGAGCATCTCTTTCTAAGGACCTGGTACATAGATAATTCTGAAAGCCATTACCTGCCAGATGAGAATTTTGGTGCAAAGGGTGACATGTTGAAATTGCTTTCTGTTAATGGCCATATAATGCTCTTGATCACATGCAGAAGGGCTGTGCTGGGTCATATGCAAAAGGAATGTTTTAAGCATATGATTCTGACCTTTTAATAAGAAACTAAATAGGAAGGCTCTTACTACACCAGCGGGTTATCAAAAGTATGAGAATTGTAGGACAGTCAGCTTGCGGCAAAACTTGACACTAACTTTTGCTGTGGAGCCTAATCAGAGATCTTCATAAATGATAATTTTTTTTGAGACCCAAAGTTTTTGTTTAATGTGAGAAAGGGATGGTGGCAGGTAAGCATCTGAAAGCCTGAAGATTCAGAAAATGTCTGCCATGCCCCTCAGGAGGTATCTGACAGAAAAGGTACAATCTTTGTCACTTAGAAAGGACGACTTCATTTTACACTGTTAATTAAAACTGTCAAATTGCTTAGTCCTCTCTGCAATAGCAATAGAATGACAAACACTCCTACCTTTGCCTGGTAGAGATTGAATAAGCAAGTGGCAGTAGATGTGTGGTAAATAGAGGGTGCCTGTCCTACTGCATTTTTCAGAATGACAAGCAGTACTTGAATGATGCCATTCACTGGAGTAGGTTGTTAATGTCATATGAACCCGCTACTGACACCACCTATATAATAATTATCCAGTCCACCTATATTGCACTCTCACACTTTCTGGGTTTAAAAAATAGAGCTACTATTTTGATTTACTTCTCTTTGTGTGGCCTCCAAAGCACTAAATGTACCAGTTCTAAAGCAGTTTTACTCTTCCAAAGTGACATCTTGTCCCAGAGGTATTAATAACTCAGACTCCCCTGATCCTTTTTATCACATGAGTATGTATGTAAAGTTATGGAAGTATTTTGGTTTTGACTGCTCTTTCATAAACCCAGCAACAGTATATGTAAATAAGGTCAAGAATATTCATATGCATTTCTTCAACTTGTCAGTTGCCACATTAGAATCAGTATTCATACTAGTAGCAAAAAAGTAGACTTTCCCATTTTAACCTGCAAGTCAATAACTTAAAGCTTTAGCTTTCATACTTGGTAGCTGTTATTCTTGGCAATACACGTTACGGAGCATTTCTTTATTATGCATTTCAATAATGTTAAATATTCCTGTCTAAAGGAAGATACAACTGATTTGTAATGGGCTGAATGGTACTTTTCTACAAGTGAGATTTAGACCAAAATGAAGCTGTAAATGCAGTATTTTATTGGAAAGGCAAAAGTTACAAGTTTGGTCTGCATTTCGTCTAGTTCTCAATTATGATCAAATATGGAATATTCAAAACAGAACCTTCTAAGCATTTTGTCAAGAAAGAAATACTATAATGGCAATTTCTGTTGATAAAAGGTAGTGATAAAATGGTATCTTCCACAGCTGGTTGTTACAGTAGGTTTATCGAGCCTCTGTGTTCCATCATAACAGTACCGGTGCAGCATGATTTAGCGGGACAAGTTATTTCTCAGGTAGGAATGAGAGACTTCTGCCACATCTCTCAAATTTTCAGTCAGCTACTTGGTGTACACGTACTGAACAGAAAGGAGTGTGATGGTAAGAAATGGCTTTTTTGGCTCTCAAGTCATCATATGAAGATTTTTATTACAAAAAGCTTGGCTGTGCCCCTTCTTGTGACTTCCAAGTCCTGCAAACAGGAACTATCACTGTGTCTTGCCTGTTCCTGAAAACTAGGTACACTATATTGCAATGTCGGTCAGAATTACTGTAAAATCAGTCTGATTTGTGTTACTGTAGGAATTGCTAAATAAGTAAAACAGGAAAAAAAGGACTTTGGTATGCTAAAACTGGCAGAACAAAGAAAAAGAAGCAACCAAGCAGAGAGTGTCAAGTGTTTTATCTTCTATCCACCTACTAGTTCTTCAACTGGTAATCATGTTTCTCAGTTTAATGCAAGGTATATATTCATTACCACGTATGCTTGTTTTCTGATCAATTCACATAATCAGTTACTTCTCCATAGTTTCATCACGAGACATCCATGAAGTTGCAGTAAGTTTTATCAGGTATGACTTCTTTCTCCACCCTTCCGTTTGGACTCGATAATGCACACTGGCCTACAGTATGGAGTCAAGTGGTTCTGTTTGTTTTCAGTTAGAGCGCTGAAAGCATAATTCTGAGGTTTCTTTCTTTCATTTGTGTTTGAGCATATGCACTACAGACTTCATTCTTTAATGCACTTCTGCAAACTTACTCTTGACATTTTTACCAGAATCAAAATTTGAGGAGGTTGGTTTCAAAATGCTGTCTTTTCCCGCGGTCACTTGCAGGAGCATGTAGAATGAGGGTGGCTTGTGCACACCAAAAGCTGGTTATGCTTTTGTCATTCCACTTCTGTCTTACTGTGTTTATT